CATGACTGAGGATGTCAGAGCAGGTCATGTGTCTTTTTTCATGTCAGACTGATCTGTTCCCTGGCAGGAATTTATTGTCAGCAACGTATTATGGTTTGAATAAATATCCTCCAAAGGCCTATCTGTTAGAGGCTTAGTCACCAGTCTGCAGTGCTGCTGGGAGGTAGGGAAACATTTAAGACACAGGACCTAGAGGAAGGAGTTAGATCACTGGGGGTAAACTCTTGAAGGGGATAATGGACCCCAATTTTTCTCTCTTGTTGCTTCTTGGTGAGCAGTTTCCTCAGCCATGTGCTCTTAGCCATAAGGTTCTCCCTTGTAATAAGCCTGAAGTCAACAGGGCCAACCATTGACTAAAACCTCTGAAACCATGAGCAAAAATAAACTTTTCCTTCTAATAAGCTGATAGTCTCAGGTATTTTGTCAGTAATGGGGAAGCTGAATAAAAGAAAGCACTAAGAACTGAAGTTTGGTAGGGGCCAGGGATTTAGCTCAGTGGTGCTATGGCCTGCCTTGCAAGCACAAGGTCCTGAATTCAATCCCTCGTACTGCAAAAAAAACCAACCAAGAACTGAAGTTTGGTGCAAATAACAATGCTCAGAATCATAGTTGTTAGGATAAAGGCAGAGAAAATAGAAGACAAATGAAATATTTTTTCTATATAAATACATTTTATAAATTTTAAGTATTGAAAAAATGACAATAACAATATTCTTTTTTGAAAGAATAACAATACCTACATAAAAATTATGGAAGAGTTAAAAAGTACCTCTTGATAACTACTTCTAATATCATCCCCTTCTCTTCTCTGATATAATCAGTATCATAAATTTCATATGAATTCTTTCATGCCTTGCTATTTTGTAAGTATATTTAGTACAGCCTGATACTAGTCATAAAGTTTATATTCTTTTCTAGCTCTCGAGAACTTATGTGTAGATGTAAGAAGTACAAGGACTATGAACAAAAACTGAAAGAACTAGTTTTTTGGGAAAGAAGATTTATATTTAACATGTTGGAGGAACATGCAGTATAAAGAGGGGAAAGGGATTCTGTCCACTTTAGCAAAGTACCATTAGTACAACAACATAAGGCCAGGGTAAAATGGTAAGATATCAAAAGGCAATAGTACCAGTGCCAGGGGCAGTGACAACAGCAGCACTCAGCTTCTGTAGAATGTCGCATTAATACTGTTAATAACACAATACAGTGGATCCTCAAGTTACAACTAGCCTGACATATGAATAGCTTGGGTTATGACCAGAATTTTAGTTTTAACGTATGAAAAAAGTCTTGAATTATGACCCAAATGTTGGCCGCTTATGCTTCCAGATGGTCTCAGATATAGATTTAACCCTTAAAGAGTTCTGGAAGGAACATTACAATATCCTTTCCTGTGTGGGGTTAATTGAGAAATCCTGGACCAATGTGTAAGGACACTGAGATCTGCCTAGACGAAAGTGTGGCCTAAAATTATACAAGAGAGAGGCTTTGAAGGAAACTGACCAAGTTGACTTATAACCAGTCCTTGGGAACACACTGAGCTCGGAAGTCAGGGGTCTGCTGTAGTTTTCTAGAGTAGATGTCAATTGCTTCATCAATAGCAGCAGTCAAGGCAGCATTAACCATTTTAACATAGGAGACAGAGCCCAGCATATGATCATCAGTGCCTTCTGTGGTAGCAATGGTACCTGAAGAAAGAAGCTACCAAACTCATGAAAGGCAAAAAGAATTAGATTAGGAATCATTAGGGAACACATCTCAGAGGACTTTAAAAAATTTTGAAAGAGATCCACAGATAAGGGAAGGGTAGGAGATGAGGGAATCTTATTACTGCTAATTCTACCCAAAGACTGCATGACCTAAAGAAAAAGAAGTAAAATTATATAATTCATAGTGCTTAGTCAATCCCACTGAAAGAACTCTTTCTTTGGTATGTACCCTGGTTGTACCCCGGGAGGAATGATATGGGTTATAATCAATGGATCACCTTAATGACCAAAAACCTCAAGTTTCAGTGTCAGATTGCTAGCACCTTCAAATGCCTGTAAAAAATGAACTAAAATCCTCTCTGATGAAAGATAACTATGGCAGAACAATTTTGGGTGTCGATTTGACTACTCCGAGGGATGCGTAGAGAATTTGTAAATTATTACTTCTGGGTGTGTCTGTAAGGATATTTCTGGACACTACTGACTTATGGGTCCACAAACGAGTGGAGAAGACCAACCTTGAATGTGGACGGCACCATTCAATTTGCTAAGGACTGGGGGGGGGGGGGGAAGAAAAGCAAAAAGGAGAATTCATATTCTCTCCCTATCCTCTCCCTTCTCTCTGTTCTCTCTCTTTAATTCTCTCTATCTCTCCATCCCTCCTTCTCTCTTTCTTGCTCTTCCTTCTGGAGCTGGTATTTTTTTTGCCACTGCAGACTGCAGATTCTTTGGGCTTTGGACTCTGGGACTTGCACTTCTGGCTTCTTGGAAGGAACCAAGAAATCAACTTGCAAATGGTCACTGTGGAACTTTTCAGCCTCTGTGATCATGTGAGTCAACCTTTTTTTTTTTTTAATTTTATTTTATTGGTACATTTTAGGTACACAATATAATGACATTCATCATTGGAAATTTGCACCTTTACATAACCTTTCTTGGTTCTTATTTTTCCCCCTTCCCCTGCCCTCCCTTCAACCCTTCCATCCCTCCCTATTTACAAAGACTTTGTTTCCATTTCTTCATTTTCTCATATTAATTCCATTCCCTTCTTTCCTTTCCCTACCCCTCCTACTTCCCCTTTCCCTTTGCCCTTTTTCTTTCTATTTCACATTGTCTATTAAAACTTAGTCCTTATTTACACTTTGTTTCTCGCATTAGAGAAACTATTTGGTATTTACATGTGTCCTATTTATTTCACTTAAGAGTATCGCCTCAATGTGCATCCATTTAGCTATAAATGTCTCTAGTTTCTCATTTTTTATGGCTGAGTAGTACTCTGTTTTAGGGGAAAAAAACACTTTTTCTTTATTCAGTCTCCAGTTGATAGGCACTTGGACTGCTTCTAAGTTTTAGCTATTACAAATTGTGCTGCTATGAACATGGGTGCACATGTGTCACTGTGGTATGATTCTTTTAGTTCTTTGGGGAAGATACCCAGCAGGGAAATACCTGGGTCAAATGGGACCTCTAGTCCTAGATCTTTGAGGTATCTCCACACTGATTTCCACAGTGGTTGCAGCAATCTACACTCCTACCAGCAGTGGAGCAGGGTTCCTCTTTCCCCACACCCTCACCAGCATTTGTTATTGGTTGATTTCATGATAGCAGCCATTCTTTCTGGAGTGAGGCGGAATCTCAGCATTGTTTTCATTTGCATCTCTCGAATGACCAGTGATGTTGAACATTTTTTCATATGTTTATTTGCTATTTCTACTTCTTTGAGAGATGTCTGTTCATTTCAGATGTCCATTTTTGGATTGGGTCTTTAAATTTGGGAGGTCTGATTTTTTTAAGTTCTTTATAGATTCTAGATAGTGGACCTTTGTCTGAGGAAAAGCAGGTGAAGATTTTATCCCACATTGTGGGTTGTCTCTTCACACTTCTGGTGGTTTCTCTTGCTGTGCAGAAACTTTTCAAGAAGAGATCCCAGAGTTGCGTGGAAGACGCCAAATCACCTCGCTGCAGACAGGCAGGTCTGCCCACACCCCACCGAGGTCCCCAGTCTCGCGGAACACACACCGAGTCAGCCCGCTGCAGACAGGCAGGTCCGCCCATGCCCCACCCAGGTCCCAAGCCACACAGAACACGCCGAATCAGCCCGCTGCAGACAGGCAGGTCTGCGCACGCCCTACCAAGGTCCTGAGTTGCTTGGAAGACGCCGAATCACCTCGCTGTAGACAGGCAGGTCTCATGTGAGTCAATCTTGAAATCTCAATACCAAGTCTCTTTCCCTCCCTCCCTCCCAGTTCTGATTCTCCAAACAACTCTATTACACATTAGGAATTTTTTTGGTGTTTGTTTGTTTGTTTGTGACAGTCTCACTAAGTAGTTCAGGTTGGCCTTGAACTCACCATGTATCCCAGGCTGGCCCCGAGATTACAGTTGTGTGCCACCACACCCAGTCCTACTTTAGGCTTTAAATTACTACTATAAATCATTTTTTAAAATATAATGTTTGAGGGCCGGGGATTTAGCTCAGTGGTTTCGCCACCTGCAGCGCAAGCGCAAGGACCTGAGTTTAATCCCCGGTACCAAAAAAAATAAAATAAAATATAATGTTTGGGAAATAAGCAGTGATCAGACAAAACTCTTTTTGGCAAAGATTAAGTAACTAGTTTGGAAATAACTCTCTTATTGTAAGTAATAGGAAAACAAAGTAGAAGAACTGCTTCAGGAAGGAGACACTAGGAAGCACAAGACTGTAATTATGGAGATTAGGGGAATTCACTAGGTGAACTCCATTATTCCCAAATCTCTCTTTAGGTATAGTTTCACAACCACAGTATACAGTACTGAAGTACAAACAGAATGCAATAGTCCTATCTAGCTAAGGTGAAAGAAATCAGAAATTCAAGCAGCTAAAATTGTGAAATCTATAGATTATGGCATTAATAAGGAAGAGAGATAGAAGGAGAATGGACCATACAATGCTCTGGAGAACCTATGAGGTTATAGCTAAGAGGTTGATAAAACACAAATTGTGGGCTCCACATCAAGCACTTCTGATTAAATAGATCTGGACTGAGCCTGAAAGTCTGTATTTCTATCAAGTTCCCAGGGACAATGATGCTTCTGACTCAAGACCACACTTTGAAAATCACTCTTGTTAAGCAAAAGACAATGGTAAGTTAAAAACAAAATAAGCCTTTTCTACTAATGTTTTCTTATTCATTCAGATTCTCTATAGATAGAAAATGTCTAAGGATTCAAGAAAAAAAGTATAATTAATTTTACACTAAACCAATGACTTCCATGATAATACAATTTCTTAAGGCTTGGGTGGCCTACCTGTAGATCTTTCACATTTGGAAAAGGAATTCCTATTGTTATGACAGCACGGGCATTGTCATCTGAGAAATCCAGACCCTCACTCACTTTACCACGACAAACTGCTACAAGAAGAGCTCCATCTTAAACAACAGAAAATAAACATTTTAAAAAGCACACTCAAAATTCTCAGAAGCTGCTTATTTTGGTTATTTTATAAAAGACTAATTAAAGGTGTTCATATTAACAACTGTTTAAAATAATCAAAATAAACACTATTGTAAGATATAGTTTTAAAAGTTCTTTGTCTTCAAGTATGAACCGAAAAATGGAAGTTTCCATCATTACCTTTATCACCAGAAAATAATTCTCAGAAATTTAAATAACTCCAATTTGTACTTCATAAGACTGAATCAATATTATATTTAAAATTCTTTTCTTTTCCTGGTACCAGGGATTGAACTGTGGACCTTACACTTGCGAGGCAGGCACAGTACCAGTGAGCTAAATTCCCAGCCCCTGAATCAATATTATATTGAAAAGCAATTAAAACACATAGAGCACTATCTATACTCTTATCATTAAAAAGATATTGACAATTATAGAGTACAAGTACAAAGTATATTACATGTATGTCCCTTTTAGCTAGAAGGAAGATATTTATAGATATCCCAACTATTTTCTTACACAAAATAGTTCATGTACTACAAGGAAAGGTGTGGGATATACACCTGAAGGCATGCTGTTTCTTAATATTATTTACAGGAAGACAACATCAAACAGAATTTCTTAAGTTTCTTTTCATCTAAGACTATAAAATGTAATTTTTCTCTTAAGGGCAACTTATTTACAAATAAATATAAATGAAGTTCTAATAACAACTGTTTTACTTCATAATAAAAAACATTCCCTCATTGACTATGAAATAATTTCCAATTACCTTTCTCTCCCCTGTACTTGACTGCATCATAGTACACCTGCAGTAATTCATCAAAATCAGTTTTTTCTCCTCCCTGTGGTTCTACAATGACTGTCTTCACCAATTCCAGATTATGCCATAAACCAGTGTAGAGCCAGCGTTCTTTTAATTTTTCTAGTAACTAAAAAGGGAAAAGAAAAACTTTAATTTTTTTGTGTCCAGCTGAACAAACTTCTCTTATACAAAGCCAATTTAACTATAATGTGACTATGGCAAACATATTAAACTTTTGGTGCCTCTTCTCACCTATAAAATGAGGTGAACAATATCTCAAGAGCCATTATTAGGTTAAATTCATTAACAGATTTAAAGAGGTTTGAATGGTGCCTGGCACACAGGTAAGAGCTGAATAAATATTAGTAGCTGCTGCTGTTACCATCAACAATACTACTGCTTCTATTGCTACTTATTATTGCTAGCTTGGTAATTTCAAAAGCAAAAAAAAACTTCTTCTTTTAAAATCTGTGTATTTGTTTCGTGGTGCTGAGGATTGAATTCAGAGCTTTGCTCATGCTAAGCATGTGCTCTACCACCAGTCTATACCTCCAATCCTTAAAATTGAGAATTTTTAAGTTCTTTCTTTAAGCCTAAGGTCAGTTCCTTCATATTCTTAACTAAACAGTCCTTACTTGATTCTTTAAGATGATTTTACTAAGGACATAGGCAGTTAAGCATAATGTTTGACATTTTTATCATCATTAATAATCCAAAATGAATATGGAAACAGGGACTCATCCTACTGTATGAGTAGAAAACATACAAGCACAAATGGAATATTTATAGAAATAACTATGGACTAGATTACAAAAGAAATTTAAACAAATTTCAAACAATTTTTATCATATTGAACACATTCTAATAATGTACCTAGCAATCTAAAATAATGCAGTCAGTAGAAAAAAGAAATTCAACACTAAAATGCATATTCTTAAACAATATGGATGAGGCAGGAAAATGGAATGAATATAATCTTCAGATACAAATGATAAGAAAAGGATTCACAATTCAAAATGTGTAGAGTGCAACAAAGGCAATGCTTAGAAATACACTTACAGCTTTAATATTTTTTTAATTTGAAAAAAAGAAACATTTTCAAGGAAGCTAGACAGACACCAAAAATACAAAGTAGACATTAATATCAAAGAGATGAATAAATGAAACAGACAAAAGTCAGTAGTAGAAATTATAATTTAAGTTGAATTGTTTTACCCACTTGTTCTATGCCATGAGTTCTCTGCAGTGTTGATCAGTTATTACAATGTAGTTAAGTATCAAGAAACCACCCAAAATTCTCTAAAGAACAGAAACTAATCATTTTTTTATATAATCTATTTACTCAAAAGAAAGATAAACTTGAATCATTGTAGGAAAATGGATGCACCTTAAGACCATAATCTTACTGAAATAAATAAGATACATAAGTTTCAATACCTCATTGTTTCTCTTGTGTGGGAAACCCAAAGGGTAGATAAGGAGCATAATGGAGGACAGATACTGGGAAGAAGGAAGAACACATTCAAATGGGAAGGGGAACAAGAGGTGGGAAGAAGGGAAGGAGAGGGAAGGGGAGGGGAGGGGAGGGGAGAGGAGGGGAGGAGAGGGGAAGGAAACAAAAGAAAGAAAGGGGAAAAATGGAAACAAAGCTTGTGTAAATGGGGAGGGGAAGAGGAGCTGAAGGGAGCGAAGGGGAGTGGGAAAAAAAGAGGAAATAAGATATATTATGTACAGGTACAAATTCCCTGTGATGAATGTGGCCAATATTAGGACAAATATGTACTAATAAAAAAAAAAATTAAAAAATAAAAAATAAAAAAATGTCCTCAGTGTTAGCTTTGCCTGTAAAAACAAGAAAAGTTTTACATTGCTATTTAATGAAATAGTTCATTGCTATTTATTCAATTACCAGGGTTCTCTAGTCAATAAAAATTGAAATCCCCGTAACATCATATTATTAGGTATAAAAAATGTAGGGCTATTGCTGATGTAAAAACTTTTCTGAGTGCCTCATAAATTGGCTATTAGAATTTGCTTTTTAAATATGTACTGTTTCTGAATCAAAGTCTCTCACCATGCTTAAATAGTATGAAAAAAAGTCTCCTGACAATACTCAGACCAACAGTGTGTATGGAAAAATCACAAAGGATCTTCAACTGGAAGGAAAGACTGCTATAGAATGAATAATGTGCAGAACAGGTTATTAAACTATTTAATTTTCTCTATTGCAGTTAGTTTAGAAAAAGGTAAAAATATCTCAATATTTAAAACCAAATAAAATGTAACAGGGCCAGGGATTTAGCTCAGTGGTTCTGCTGCCTGCCCCACAGGCGCAAGGACCCGAGTTCGATTCCCGGTACCAAAAAAACCCAAAACAAATAAAATGTAACAAATAACATTTCATCTTTGATTCCTTCATCCTCCAACAACCTTCAATACTGCAGCTTACAAATATTCAAAGTCTAGATGAAAACCTCTCACACTACTTGGGTAAGACAGTTATGGCTGGGAACTCCAGGATACATTCAAAAATCAAGAGGGGCTGAGGATTTAGCTTAGTGGTTCTGCCACCTGCCTCGCAAGCTCAAGGTACCAAGTTCAATCCCAGGTACCAAAAAAAAAAAAAGGGCAACATTCAAAAATCAGATTAAATTCAATCAATTTAAAAAGGAAAGTTTGAAAAATAATAAAGAATTGGTTCAATGTGCACAATTTACATTAAAGAAATTCAACAGTTTTTTCTCTTATATAGAAAATAATTATGATTTAAAAATTTAAAAGCAAGTAGAGTGTGTGCAATCATTTCAAATTTGTTATAAAAATGTAAACAGAAAACTATTTTAATTCTCCAAACATTGCTAATAAGTTATTAAGCTACTTTTATGTTCTAGAAAAAAGACAGCAAGAGAGAAAAAGGGGAACAAAAAGGTTGCAGATCAAAATACAATAAGCAAATTGGCAATAGTCATTTAAATATAAATGGATTAAATTCTCCAATCAAAAGACATAAAGTGGCTTTGCAGATGTTTAAAAAAAGATCTAACTACATCCTATAGAAAAGTGAGTCATTTTAGAGTTAAGGTTACAAATAAGCTGAAAGTCAAAGATTGGAAAAAATATTCCTTATAAATAGTAACCAAAAGACAGCAAGAACAGCAATATAATACTTCTATAGGACTAAAGAGGCTTTAAATTAAAAATTTACAAGAGACAAAAAAGACATTAGGTATGGATAAATCAGTTAACTTACCAGAGAACATTTAATAATTATAAATGTCTATGTACATATCATCAGAGAATATAAATCTTTCCAAGCACTTACTGACAGAACCAAATGGAGAAATAGATAGCAACACAATAATAGTAGATTTCAATGCCCCACCTTCAATAGTGGATAAAATATTTAGACAGTAGATCAATAAGGAAACAAAATCTAAACAACCCTACAGACCAGAAGGACCTAATAGACAAATATTAAAAATTCCACACAGCAGCAGCCAAAGACACATTCTTCTCAATGGCATACAGAATATTCTCTAGGATAGATTACATGTTAGGTCACAAAGTCAGTCTCAGCAAACTTAAAAAGACTGAAACAAATAACATATCTTATCCATGATGGAATTAAACTAGAATTCAATAGCCAAAAGAGAACTAGAGAATTCACAAATATGTGGAAATTGAGCAACACACTTTTAAACAATGAGGGCATGGGTCAAAAGAAAAAATCAAAAAAGAAATCATGAAATTATCTTGAGAACAACAAAAAAAGACATAATATACTAAAAGTAAGAGATGAAACAGAAGCAATACTAAGAGGGAAGCACACAGTGATATAAATGCCTACATTAAAAAAGAAATTAGAGGGCCGGGGATTTAGCTCAGTGGTTTAGCTTCCTGCTGCGCAAGCGCAAGGACCCGAGTTCGATCCCTGGTACCAAAAAAAAAAAAAAAAAAGAAAGAAATTAGACTTAAAGTAAATAAACCAACTATACACCATCTTAAGCAACTACTGGAAAAAAAAGAACAAACTAAGCCCAAACTTAGCAGAATGAAATATCAGAGCAGAAAAAAGCAAACTAGGAAACAGGAAAAACAACTGAATAAAACGAAAAGAAGAGTTTTTTATGAGATCAACAAAATTCATAAACTTTAGACTAAGAAATAAATCAGAAATGAAAGAGAGCTATTACAAATGGTGCTGCAGAAATAAAAAAGATTCTAATAATAATGTGCCAACAAACAGATAACTTAGAAGAAAAGAGCAAATTCCTGGAACATATAAGCTACCAACACTGAGTCATGAAGAAACAGAAAATCTGAACTGTTAAAACAAGAAGAACAAATCAGTAATAAGAAGTATCCTATCAAGCCAGGTGTGGTGGCGCACATCTATAACTCCAGCACTCAGAAGCTGAGGCAGGAGGATTGCTACAAGTTCGAGGGCAGTCTGGGCTATATAGTGAGTCCAAGGCCCACCTGCACTACAAAATGAGACCCTGTCTCAAAAAAACAAAAAAGAAAAAAAAGTATCTTATCAAAACAAACTCCCAGAGCTTTTTGATTTCAATGCTGAGAGTATACTAAACATTTAAAGAACTAATACAAATACAGATTCCATGCAATCTATAAAAATCTCATGGTATTTTTGCATAAATAGGCCATTATGAAAAATACATTTTACATTCCTGATAGCAATGGACAAGGCCTCTAACTTCTCAACATCCTTGCCAACACATGTTGTTTTCCGTATTTTTGATAATGGCCTTCCTAAGAGGTGTGAAGTGCTATCTCCTTGTGGTCTTGATTTGCATTATTTAATGATTAATAATGTTGAGCATCTTGTCATATACTTGTTGGCCATTTGTATGTCAAATTTAGAGAAATATCTATTCAAGTCCTTTGTCCATTTTTCAATTGGGTTATTTTTTGCTATTTTTTGAATCAAAGAAATCAAAACAATACAGCACCAAAATAATCTACTTTCTTTCAGCAATGTTTCATAATTTTCAGTATAAGTCTTTCACCTCCTCAGTTAAGTTTATTCCTAAATATTTTATTCATTTTGGTGCTTTACAAATAAGACTCTTTTCCCGATTTCCTTTTCAGAGTTTGTTAATGTATACA